TAAGCCAACTTACTAACAAGATAATCATTGGGACCAATTCTGGCGTTACATTCTCTAAACCTAAACTTAAAATTAGAGTGCTAATTTTAGATTAGGGTTAGAGAATTGTGTCCGTGATGCTAGCGTACCCACGATCAATATACGGTTTTTAGTTATGCCATTAAATAGTGCGTAAATAGTGCCAAATTAGTGTAAAAATAATAAAAATAGTGCCTCTTTAATTTAAGAAATAAATACCATTTTTACTGTGTACGCTACCATGACGTCAAGCTAGCGTACCCATGGCCGACCCCAAGAACGGCATATATTTAAGCAACGAAATTGACACACAAAAATAGTTCGCAAATAGTGCCCTGGCTTTACAAAATTTCATAATCAATACTCTTAAAGGTACAACCTACCTACCTACTAAGTACCTTACTTACCTACTATACTACGAAAATATTATCACTTCTGTACATGACTGTACTTCATATATAAAAATAATTTAATTGCTTTTTTTATATTGTTTTACTGCGAATTAACATAAAATACTTTTACTGTTAGAGGCACTATTTGACACACTATTTATACATATAGATTGATAACGAGAAAAGTTAATTTTCTATGAGAACTATTATGGGTACGCCAGGTTGACGCCAGCTAAGAATGTTTAGTTCAATATCTTTGGTCCTTTAAGAGTATTGATTATGAAATTTTGTAAAGCCAGGGCACTATTTGCGAACTATTTTTGTGTGTCAATTTTGTTGCTTAAATATATGCCGTTCTTGGGGTCGGCCATAGGTACGCTAGCTTGACGTCATGGTAGCGTACACAGTAAAAATGGTCTTTATTTCTTAAATTAAAGAGGCACTATTTTTTTTATTTTTACACTAATTTGGCACTATTTACGCAGTATTTAATGGCATAACGAAAAACCGTATATTGATCATGGGTACGCTAGCATCACGGACACAGAGAATTGGTATTCTGAAATTGCTAACTAACTAAATTAAGAGAACAGTTGACAGCTGTAAACGAGCATCTAAATTAAATTCACAGATTATGTAAAAGCATTGAACCGGTAATTATCGGTTTACTCAAATTAGCAATAATTACTTATTATTCAGTGATTTTGACTTATTTTAAGTAAATCTTTGTTGTTCTTCATCATCTTTGAAATATGAAAACTTTACATAACTTTGTTATTTTACTGTATGAGAAATTATGAAGCAATATTAAAGAGTGAATACTTGCCTACTCTGAGGTACTTAGGGTTTCTAGATTGGGAGTGTTTATCCTTATTTTGGGAAAAAATAAGAACTTGGAGAAATGTAATCTGCGAGGAGAACTTAACTTAGAAGAGAAGGAATCATATTTTTTCTTTGAAAAAGCCAAGTATTTTTTGGGCTAAACGATTTGACGAAAAAAAATTACAAAGAAGTGCATCGAACGAGCAATTAGGTAGGTACCATTGCGCCGTGATGCAGTCTAATCATTCAGATAAAGTAAATAGGGTAAGTGTACTCGTCCGAGCAAAAATGTTTATTGTTTTGTCTGAGGTATCACTACGATTGCCCGGCGGCACCGCGCCGGCGCTGTATTCATGCAACGGGCCGTGGCCGAGCCGAGGCGGGACCAAGTTTTTTCCGAGCGTTGTTTCATTTGTTGCTCGGTTGTCAGTCGGTTACTGCATGACAACCGAGCATATAGCGTATAAATAGCGTGAATGTTATATTTTACATGGATTATGTCTTTAATCCATGTAAAATAAATTATTTAATATTAGTTAACTAGAGAAGTTCGATGGCGCAGACGATTAGCTCGTTCGGCTGCGATCGTTGAAGTTAAGCAACTTTCGCAGTGGTCGGTCATTGGATGGGTGACCAAAAATCTTCTATGTCGAGTTCCTCGTTCTCCCGGCTGCATCTGCAGTCGTTAGCACCCGCCAATCCGCACTGGGCCTGCGTGGTGGGTCATGGCCTAATCTCTCTATTTCATCCATAGGGAAGGCCTGTGCCCCAGCAATGGGGTCATTAATAGGCTGATGATGATGATTAGTTAACTCTGCTACGGCCGACAGGGTCTAACGTGAACCATCCTTGAAAATTTCTCGCATCGTAAATTCCCAATCCAGCGTATCTATCTAATACCTATAATTTCGGTTTCGGTAAGAGGTTGTAAAATTATCCCTTCGGCTGTTTTGTGAAGATTTTATTCTCATTTATTGTATAATCCGAGATGCGTAACCTATTTTTATCTTTTTGTTTCTATCAGTTTTTGGCGAGATCATCCCAATTATTCATTTGGTGAAGATATCCAGTTTAGGATATATAAAAACAAACTTTTCAATTACAAACAGTAGGTACTTATTTCGTGTTTGGTTATTTTAAGAAATATGATTAGCTTATAAAAAGTTGGAAATAAAAACATTTCTAACTAATAGGTATTAAAAACTGCTTCATAGAAACAAAACCACATAAAACAAAGGGACAAATAATACATTAAAGTCTAAAGTACCTACATTTAATTGCAACATTTGGATTGCAATTGGTGATTGGAATTCAAATCACTGACACCATACCTCTATTATCTTGTTAATTATTTGACTATGTACTTTAGATATAAGTAGGATCTATAAGTATTACTTATAGAATTAGTACATAGATTTTTTACCTTTTTCGGATGTTTTTATATGAAGTGGATTTTTATTTGTTATATAAGATTTTACCTTAAATTATTTAGTATTTTATACAAGATATACGTGTACATTACCTACGAAAGACCACAATAGCGCAAATGTAACGCTTTCGTTCTGCGATCGTGAATGTTAAGCAATTTTCACAATGGCCGATCTTAGGATGGGTGACCAACCCAAAATGTATTTAATCGAGTTCCTATGTTGCTGCTCGCTGCAGCTCGGATTTATTATAAGCATGACACATTAATAGGCTTATAATAAATCCGCATCGTAACATAGACCCTTTAAAAAAAACGATCTAGCTAATATATTATTATCACCGTCGTTGTTCATTATTGTATAAAAATGTCTTTTTTTTAACGAAATAAACCCATATCCAACCTTAACAACAAGTTCAAAACTCAAGTACAGCAATCATTTTCGTGATATTTGGCCCCAATTATTCACATTTAATATAGAGATTTAAATTTAATTTAGAGAGGACCTCCGTAGGTTCTTCTTAAATTTAGTGTGACTTTCTAATTTTAGAGAAAATATGACACATAGAACGCGTTTCAGAATACCATTTAATCATCTAAATCTAAGTTGAATAACTTAGCAACGTCAATTTTAAATTTAGAGATATTGGTGTCGATTCTGACATGATTCTCTAAAGCTAAACTTAAATTTGACAATAGTGCATCTTTGTCATTTTCTATACAGAATGAAAGGGAAAGACTGATGTTAAATTTAGTTTTAAGTTTAGAGAATCACACCAGAATCGACAACAGTGTGTCATTACAGAATACCAAATTGAATTTGACCAATTTAATTTTAGTTAGTTTTAGATATAAGTTGGCACGCCAGAATTGGGCCCATTATCATATTAGTTACTTGGCTGGCTAGCAAACAAACAATACATTTACACAGGTAGTAGTGGTAATTTTGTATTGTTCTGTTTCTAATATTATTTTAACAATGACTGCGAAATATACTCAGCATAAACGTTCGGAGTGGGTATTAATGATAGAATTTAAAGAATGGCTGTATAACTAATCAACATTAAACTTAATATATCTTTTATATTTGTATTGTTACTAATTGACACTAATATTTTATCACATACATTACAGTTACAATCTTATATAACAAATATCGGTAATGGACATTAGTGGTTAGCATTATATTTTGGCATATTTTTTTAAAATTTAGCATTTTTTTAACGTCGATTTAGCATGAAATATTTTTTGGAGTTGGCAGCACTGCTCCTGTTAGATACATACAGGCATAAGGACAATGTATCCATTGCCAATAAATTAAAAAAAAATAGAGACATACAAACAGTGTTGCCTACTCGGATTTTGAAAAAGGCGTAGGCCCGATGACAAAATTACGTAGAATTAGTAAAAATTGCATATGAAAAGTTCGTAGATCTACGTATTTTTTTGTTTGAGAGAAGCTAGTTCGTTAAAACGAGTATTTTGTTATACAATTTATTTAAAAAAAGGAGATAGAACATAGAATTCTTGGAGAAGACTCTACATTGGCAGCATTTACCATGCTGTGGTAGACATTTACCATCAGACACAGACGCTGCTAGGTGTCAATTTGACATAATTCTCTAAACTTAGCACTAAATTTAACATCAGTCTCTCCTTTTCATTCTGTATAAAGAATGACAAGAATACACTGTTGTCAAATAGGCTAGTTGACCCTTTGAAAATATGTTTTAAAATGGTTAATAATTGTTATATTAGACCGAAAAAATGTATTGTAGTAATTATCATGATTGTATTATGCGAGAATGTAGAAACACAACGTTAAAGACTCCAGAAAAGTTGTAATTTAAATTGCCCAGAGAAATAAACATATCTACACATGAACACATGTTTAAAACTTGCTAAATCCTGTAACTTTATCGACTGAAAGTCATTTCTTTTTGCATAGATCACTTCGGTGTAAGTACTGATTCATTTTTTTTTAAGTTTATTAATGTACCTACTAAGTAAGAGAGCTTTGTCGTTTCTGCTTTTACAAATTCGGCGTCCAGCATTAATTTAGACAACAAAACCAATAAACGGAAACTCTTCTACAAGATATAAGAGTCTTTAGATATATTTTAGTCCGACGAAAGAAACCATAGTAACACAACAATGACGTTTAGTTGTTTATAAATTTTGTGACGTCATTCTGAATTTATGAAGTGAAATCGATGTATTTCAGTTCCTCATACCAAAAACTATAAGAAATAAACATTTGTATAGTTAACGGAAAATATGCTTCCCTATTCTACTGAGTTATGTTATTTTGCAAATTTGTACAAATTAAAAGAAAATACGTAGATTTTGGGACTGAAGTTAGTAGGTTAGCAGAAAAGGCCTAAAATACGTAGATCTACGTAAAAAGACGTAGAGTTGGCAACACTGCATACAAAATATACAAATGTACTGCAAATGAATATGCTTGTAAGCAGACTTTTTTGTTCTGATGAAGACTATCGATCGAAAGATCGCGGTATTTCCTGCTTAGAATGATGAAAAACAATACGATTGAGAATAATCCATTAGATTTGGAGTCCTTCCAATGTAGATCTGCAAATCGTAATAAAAGTGGGCGACCTTTAAAAGATAACATGGTTCGATTTGGCCCGCAACATCAATCGTTTGTTTCAAAGTTACTGAAAAATTACTACAAAGATGATTTGAAATTGTTAACAAATGATTCCAAAGGTCTATCTACAGACTCTGAGTATATCCATGATTTGACTAATAATGACGATATTTTACTTGAAGGAAACCATTCTAGCATTATCATTGAGTAAGTCAACAATCTGTACAATTCGATAATTTTAAATTTGCACAGACAATTGTCTTCATTTATATTTAATTTACAGGGTGCCTAATTTAGCGATGCCTACAAAAAAGAACCAGAATGGTGAATATTCATGTGACTATGCTAACTGTTCTTATTCTACTAAATTATCATCAAATCTAAAGAAACACAAAAGAACACATAGTTCAGAAAAACCTTACTTGTGTGATATGTGCCCTTTCCAATCAAAATTTATAAATTCTCTTAAAACTCATAAAAGAACTCACACCAATGAGAGACCGTATAATTGTATATTTTGTAGTTACCGTTGCAATAGCAGTTCTAATCTCAAAAAACACTGCAAACACATGCATTCTAATAACTTTGTTTTGGAGACCTGAAGAATTTTATATTTTTTTTGTACTTTTGGTCTAGTAATTATATAAATTAATCAGAATTCATAATAAGTTTTAATTAATTTGATTTTTTCCCACATGAGCAGAACTAATAATTTGATTCCCGACTCACTGTTAGTTAATTTTTTGCGAACATTTCATTAACATGAAGTTTAATTTTGTATGTAAGGACATAGTAAGGGGAGCCCAAGCAGGGATTTTCGGATTTACTCGAGCACGGCAGATTAACATATGGGGGGGACCTTGCCCCTTGTGAAGTACTCCTACCATACCTGAACCCTCCATGTAGTGACGAACGTCTACGGCAGCAAAAAAAAGATGTCTTATGTAACATTTCTGAGGACAGAAATAATATTGATCTGCTGGTTTGCATGGTGTGAAGGTGTCCGTACGAAGGGGTAGAACCTAGTAAAACAAAAATCAATCAGCGTGTCAGACTTTGAGCAGGGATCTTAATTGAACCTTCTGGTACCTCTTATTCAAAAGACTGACGATTTGAATGCGACCAAAAGTCGTGGCAGTATGTTGATTTTTTTTTGCTGCCATAGACGTTTGTCACTACATGGAGGGCTCAGGTATGGTAGGAATACTTCACAAGGGGTAAGGTTGCCCCCCATATGTTAATCTGCCGCGCTCGTATAAATCCGAAAATACTACTATAGGGGCCATTCAAGTATTACGTAACGCAATTTGGGGGGGAGGGGTTCTTGTAAAACGTTACGATGCGTTACAGGGGCGGGAGCGTTCGAGCAACGCGTTACGTAACATTGTTTATTATTTAAATATAAAAACTAGGGTATTAAAATCTCCCAAATCTTCTCGTTTATTGTTGGTCAAAGTTTAAAAATTGCATTGAAAAAGTTTAAAGCAAACATGTTATTTTATTAAAAGAAAGTTACATATAGGGTAGGGGGTCAAAAATCTTCAAAATTTACTTTACGTAACACTTAAACGCTCCCTAACTCATCTCTGGAATCAAAGCTACTAGATATGAGATTGTTCTCTGAACAATTATGATTGACATGACACTGTTGCTGCCTCTCGGTGACTTAAAGTATATGTAGTACCTTTAATAATTGGAGGTTTATTTTTAAACATAGGTTTTTCCATAATTTTACCACAGTTGTTCAATAATAAAAAAATATTTATATTCCCTACTCATTAACATTTAATACCTGTGGTCATCCTAAGAAGTTTACCTGGGTGGACTCCAGAAACTTATTATAACCCTTGGTTCACCTAGGTGGACTAAGGGGAATGGTTTTGACCCTAGGATAGCAAGGATACTAACACAGATTGTTTCTTTTGCATAGTTCCATTATATGTCACATTAATGGGACGATAAGGGATACGGACGTCCTCCAATAAGGAGCCGCTCGTCAAAGAAACGCTTATGCACTAGTTTTTAACTAGGCAGCGCTGCATCGTCCTTTTCTCAAAGGACGATCGCATCCGATGAAGCCTTTTAGATTTAGCCTTCTCGGCCAGAGGCAGCCCCTACGGGTGCTTTTTAGTCAGCAAGAGTCTGACATAACCTTGCAGCCGGCTGTAGGGTATCCATGAGGATTTCTCTCCCGCCTGGGAGGAAACAAAAAAAAAAGCACAATTCGCTTTAGTCACAATTGGGCATTCAAACACACTGCATGTGCACTCAAAATAACAATATTGCGTATATTGTGTTATAAAGATAAAACAATGCCTTCGACTTTTATAAAGAACACAAATGGCTCAAAACCAAATGCCTCTGCAACACTTTTCATTCGTAAAACTGTAAAAACTTTTTTTTTTCTAGAATATCACGGTTTGTAGTGAATGTTGTTAGTATAAACGTAAATTTATATATAGCCTTAATGTTATCAAGAAAAGTACTACAATACAGCTCAGCCGTACGGACTCGCCGTTTCGCTCACGCTGCGTTAAAGCATACCCTTAGCACGAACCAATGTCGAATTCGTATCGTTTGCGAGTCCGAAATGTCATTGTCGAAACTATTCGAATTCGATAATGGTTCGTGCTAGGGGTACCAGTTCTGTCTGGCTCGCTCTCTCAAATTTTGTATGAAAACTTGCTCAGCAGCGCCACAAAGTACTTAAACAGAACTAAAAATCAATACACATTTGACAATGACATTTCGGACTCGCAAACGTTACGAAACTAAGGGTACCAGTACCCCTAGCACGAACCAATATCGAATTCGTATCGTTTGCGAGTCCGAAATGTCATTGTCAAATGTGTACTGATTTTTAGTTCTCGTTACGTACTTTGTAGGGTACCAGTACCCGGGTCATTCTTTGATATATATTATTTTTAACAAAATTTTAGTTATTTTAATAAACCTCAATGCAAGGAATTTTTAATAAGTTAAATGTAATCTATGTGTATAAAATTTAATTTCAAAAAGAAGGGCACTTGTTTTATTTTAATATTTAAAGCAATATCTTTAAATTTAGAATTATTCACGTTGAGGAAAATGACACAGTATGCTGAGAATGATATCAGCATGGAACATAATGACGCAGTGTTGCAGTAAATGATTTAAAAGGTTTCAATTTGGGTATTTTACAATAAACACTTACTTAATCATTTAAAACAATTTTATTTATCAAACTTTGATAAAAAACTAACAAATAATCAAAATTAATTGAGATTATAAAACATCTATGACGCTACTCAGACCAAATAAAAAGTAAAGACGGAGTCTGCCGAACCAAAAAGTGAAGCCGGTTTTTTATGTATGTAGTGCATTAGCCAGTGTTACCATAGTCATATAAAACACCCCAATATTAGAAAAATGTAATAACGTTATTCCATAACGTTATTAATAACGTTATAAAATATTAGAAAAAAATATCGTAAGCTTATTCTCTAAACCTCTCGTGAGCCAAAGGTCATGCGCCGTTCTCACCTACAAGTGCCGGACTTCTTTATGGACCGCCCGCCCGTGGGTGGGAACGATTGCATTGTTCTGCAGATTTCTCTGTTATTTTGTAAAAATACCCTTCACAAACGTATATTTGGATTCTCCATAAAATTTTCAATAAAACAGTGTGTACACAATGCGTCATGTCTATAATTTATTTTAATTACATTATGGTAAACTCAGGAAAGATAAAAAAAGTCGTTTAAATAGGTAAAATAAAATGAGGTATATTTTCAAAATTTGTAAATTATAAATCCAGGTTTTTGTACATATAGAATGTACTATATATAAATGAATGTATATAATAACTTACCAAATATAATTATAAAATATAACACGCAACAGAAAAAAAGGGTCGTGTTTCAAGTGTTGATAAAAACAAATGCGAGATCCAAGTGCCTTGATTTATGTGTTGACGTTTAATTATGTTGGATTGTTTATTTTACTTTAGTTACAAGTCTCGGATGGAATAGGTTTGTACATTTTATAGTTTCAAGCACTCGCAACAAGGCACTTGAAATCGCTACCAAATCAGTCATCTCAACTTTATGTCGATAAAACGAAAAGCATATGCAAATGTTGATAAACAGTTTCTTTTATTAAAATGTACATAAAATTTTCTATAGAATACACAAAATATAATCACTAGTTCCTATACAAGAACATAATAAAATAAATCCACAAACATCGCGAATTTTGGGTCAAAAAGGCCATTAAAAAAAAATGGTTGCCTGTAAAGTCGGTTTTACGGGCGAAGATTTTACGTGACAACGTCTTTTTCTCGGTAGAATATTTATTGATATGAATATAATTAAATTGCACAATAGGAACAAGGAATTGAATGAAAATAAGAATTGCACAAATTTTAACTATAGAAATATATTTTGTTTACTAAAACATTGTACATATAAACTTAAACTTAACACGAGAGACTCATCGTAACGTTACCGAGCGTTACACTTTTTCATAAGTGACTCCCAGCCGCAACCTAATTTAAGACGTTGTCACGTCAAAAGTAGATGCATCTTAAAACGGTGTGCACATTAGATGAGGCATTTTTCTAGTGTGCACATTTGCGGTCAAGGATGAGTTTAAAATTAGCTAAGTACCAAATTAACATTATTTTTACTATTGTACTAATACTTTTAATGAACAATGATACTTAATTCAAGTAAGTTCGCTTTAATTTAGTAGCATAATACGGCAAAATGGGGAAACTGAAGCAAGTAGTTCTACCACAACATGATAGATGGTGGGACTTGTACAAACAATAAGCAGTTAGCAAATAAATTATTGGAATCTTTAAAATATAAATTAATCTAAGTAACCATAATAATAGTAAAAAAAATACCTTTGGATATGCATTTTGTTTTACACGACGTAACCCTTTTGTTGTGTAGTACAAATCGTCGCTCTGACAAATGAGTCGAACAAACCACGCTGCGGGAAGCTGGTTGCCACAATGGTTCATTTCTACTCTTACGAATGACTGCAATCCACTTCTCTTTTAGATCTTGATCTCGATTAGGAAATCTTAAAAAAAAACGTATAATATATAATATGTATTACATCCCAAAAAAATTATACGAATACATAAAGAAAAAAGATGTTTCGTGTAATTGTTTATCCATGCATTACAATATTCGAATAATATAAAAGTATGCCACACAATGTATTTAATAAAATAACGTTACGTTATATTTCACGCTACCCAACAAAAGGGTAAAACTGTAACGAATAATCATGGCAACATTTCGTTCAGGTTTTGTTTACAAAGCGACAACCTCAAATTTGATTTTGATTAATTGAAAATAGCAGTTTATAACTTTACTTACGTATGAAATGTGATTCCATCCTGTTTTTTATTCTTGGAAGATTGGTTTTTACACGTTTTCACTACACAATTCGGCATTTTCTCTAATAAATATTGTTATTTATTATTACGTCACACTCCGCGCGTCGGGATAGCTCGACTGAGAATCCAAGGCGTAGTTTCGTTGCATGTGTGTGCGTGTAACTGTGTATGTACACGGCGAGGCGTAGTTTTATCGGCTTCACTTTTTGGTTCGGCAGACTCCGTCTATACTTTTTATTTGGTCTGAGTGACGCTAGAGTAACTATTTGGTTCTAAAAAACTTAATCATTATAGGTAGTCTCCTTAGGCAATTAATTCTTTGGTAATCATTAAAAATCACAGTCATTAATTAACTTATATCTGTAGCAACTAATTGGTTATTTCACTTAATGAACAATAACTTAAGGAACAGTCAAAAACTTAATTAGTTACTTAACCTTATTCATCAAATATATACCATTTTATCTTACTAATCAACACCTTAATTATGTCTTACAAGTATTTGACTTAGCGAGGGAGTTACACATTAAATAATCATTTACATGATGACATTTTCTTGTACATACCAGAACAATATTTGAATGCAATAAATGTAGCGCAATAATTGATCTTCAAGAGCACGTGGATGTAGTAAAAAGGTTGCATACAAGTATACCAAGAAAAGTTTTGAAGCATAACTTGTATAATAGATCAAGAATGTTACGTGCTGTATAGACTATGCAAGTCATTTATTGATTCAATTTAATTATATGAAACAGACAAGAAACTTGCATCATCATCAAGAGCCATCTCTTAATTCGAAAAAACTTGCATCACAATATTCCGTAAAAGAAAATGTATTGTATTAATAATAAATTCTTATATTGATTTATGGGTAACAGAATACAAAGAAAAAAAACTCAAAAGAATCATTAAATTACTGATGTGTAGTCTTATTGGTGACATCAATAGGAATATCAGAAGTAAGCTTGATTTTGTTCTGATTTGTAAATTTGCGTTTAGTTTTTGCCAATGGAACTATGTTACAAGAAGTTACGTTAGTAATAGTGTTTTTATTAACGGCATAATTACTGTTGATAATATATCCTAGATGCTTTCCATGGTTGCAAATTTCACCAACGTCACATAGAAAGCAACTCATACTTCTCATTGTAATTTTTGGTGTAAAAAGGTCCCAAAGAACTTGATGCACAGAGAGGGTGCCTCTGAAGGGTTTCAACTGCTCGGGAATCAATTTCTCCCTTTGAATAATTTCTTCCTCGGAAACTTTTTTAATTATAACAATTTCTAATCTTGATTCCATGATTTTGTAAAATTGATCAAAATTTCCAACATCTGAACCAAAATGAACCCATTGATCTGCTAGTCTTGACGGTATGTTGCCCATAATGATGTAGCTTAAAATGACGAGTTGAGGAAAAAACCTGCACGAACTTGTCTGTGAGCATAAAACGTCAGCAATGATTATACTAAATGAAATCTATTTCTGCTGGATATTATAATAAAAACAAACGAAAATGTTACGTGTGTGTATTCAAGGTACTTAGATTGAAATACAAATGACTTAATCGATGACAAAATGTAAATAATTAGAAAAAAATACTTACAGCTCACAGAAACACACGTGTTAATTCACCGCGACGTTACCGTCAACTGAGGTCGGGTCCCGCGCACCCGGGAGAGTGAACTAAAGTTACGTTTGCTATGTAGTTTTTGAATAATATTTTTTTTTCACGTTATTGCTATGAATGACGTTTAACTTATAACAATATTTTTACTTAAAGTTTAAGTTAGTTATTGGCAAGTGTTTTAAAAGTTTATTAATGTAAACGAAGGGTAATTTATAAGCCTTTAAATAGGACATGTTATTATATTTTTAATTTGATATTAAATAATTTGGAGCTAAGTAGTTCCCTGAAGATACACAATTGGAATAAGAGTAAAATGACGTTTGATGACCTTTTTGAAGCGTTGATTGAAAATAACCAGTTGTATATATTTTTTAAACTTGGTAACATATAAAATATTGCCAAATGTAAATAAAAATCATATCAAATGCATTCCAAAAAATCAGTATGCTAAATTATTAAGTCGGAAGATAAATTTAGAGTCTTTTAAAGAAAAACCCACCCCTAGCACGAACCAATATCGAATTTGTATCGTTTGCGAGTCGGAAATTTCATTGTCACATGTGTACTGATTTTTAGTTCTCGTTACGTACCTACTTTGTGACATTTGACATTGACATTTCGGTTTGCAAACTATTCGAATTCGATAATGGTTCGTGCTAGGGGTACCAGTTCTGTCTGGCTCGCATGTTTATATACAGACGTGTGCGTGTGTGGGAGTTGCTTATGTAGTTGTCGGATCATATTTTATTTGATGATGCTAGTATGAGCGTACCGTATCTTCCCTTTTTGTTTTAAAGTAAGACTGATACATATAAAAGTATATTTATATACATAAACTGTAAAACTCCATAGTAATTTAACAATTGAGCGTGATAAAAACGCGTTATACCTATATCATATCGCAGTGCTCATGCTACGGGGATAGGTGTATAAAGGGTCTGCGAAGTTATCCGTGGTGAATCAAGTTCGTAAGAACAAATCCCCTTCATCCACCCAGGTGAACCAAGGGTCAGAACAAGTCAGTAATAAAAGCTTACAAAATGAATTCTTCTTGAAATTTAAATTATAAGAAAATCTACTGAATAAAAAATTCAAAGATCACAGATCTGTACTATATTTTTTATTGTCATTAAAGGTGTAGTTATGCCTTTTCTACAGAAGAATTCTTAGCGAGAGCAAGTGGGACACTTGATCTTAAGTATGTAAAGTAGAAATAATTGAATAAAACACATAAAAAGCATAAATCTAATTTAATATCACTAGCCTATATAGGTATGTATATGATAACCCTAAAAATTACAATTATATAACTGGTATAAACATTGTTGCCCAAAAAGTACGTACTTATACAAAGTCTGTCCTCCTATTAACATGATAACAATAATACACCATGGAGTACCTATGTTTGCCGTTTCCAAGGTAAACTTGCGAGGTTCAAGTCCAGATTAACAATACGCCTGGGAAGCTCCAATATTCATGATCACCGTGAATATATACTTACTCTTTATAAATAAATAGAAAAATTAAAATAAAATTTTGTGCAAATTATAAAGATGATATTTCACATAAATATTGGAGGTTTGCCTAGCCCATTATCTACGTGTCTCAGTGGCAATGTTCAGTGAAGTCTACGACGACTGATTCGCGCCAACCGAAGAGGAAGTACCCTGTGGCTGAGCCGAGCACAACCGCCGCGCACAGCCATGTGTTATAAGTCATAAACACCAGCATCAACATATAACTCACGAGCACTTGCGCTCCGTGAAGAACTGTCTGCCAGGCGTGTGCTGAACTTAACATTGTAGGTCTGCAAAACAACGAAGATAAATTTAATACCAGTAAAGTACCTACAGTCTGCCTCAAACGTTTTGAGAGCAAAATTAAACTAAGGGGTAGGAAAGTCTGATCACTAAAACAGATGAGAATTTGCCTTATACAACCAAAATTAAGATTCGACAGGCGTCTCTCACTCCCATGTAAACGTCGAAACTCACCACGCGCGGCTGTCCATACAGATCGGAAAATTAATACCATAAAGGAAAGGTAAAAACAAATGCATATAATGATGAATTACAAACTTTCTCCTTTTTGAAATCGATCAATTGTAATAATAAATAGAGGAATCTAATTGTGTTAGATAAGATTAACGTCATCAACCTATCAATGTCCCCACTACTGGGGCACAGGCCTACCCCATGGATAAGAAGAACGGGCTATAGTCAATCACCACGCGATCCTAGTGTGGGTTTGCTAACAACTGCAGATGCAGTCGTGACCAAAGTCTTAAAGTGCATTCCGAAACACGGAGAAGCTAGAAATAGTACATTTTTGGTCAACCATCAGATGAATGGCCATTCGGGAACCTGGATGAATGGATATAAGAGGGTATACTCACACATTTCTCTCGAGTACATGAGGCACAGGCCTGTAACAAAAATAAAATCAAATAATATATTTTTAATCAAAGAGGAAGATTTCAACTTTATTGTGGGATTTTTTATTCACGTGTGGCGTTCCAGCTATCCACACCTTGTCAGCCTTGTTTTCGATGACGGGAACACCTTGCTGGCCTGAACGCAACTCACTACCCCGGGGAGCCTTGCAACCTTACTATTTTTTTTTTATTATCCTTAATGTCGTATATGTAAAATAATGATAAATGCTTAGATTACATTAAACACTGACACATCACCTCTACATTGCGCTACCAGCATCATTCTATATGGCAAATAAAGATAAGGAGGTAAAACAAACTCAATCAACAATTACGCCGCGATGTATTGACGACCTCCGTGGTTGAGTGGTTTGTACGCCGGGTTTCATAGTGTCGCCGACTCGAGAGGTCCCAGAGGGTTCAAATCCCGGTGGGGGCAGATGTTTGTGTGATGAATACGAGCATTTGTACTCCAGACATGGATGTTTAAAAATATACTTATATATGTATTCTATCAGTTACCCTAATATCCCATAACACAAGCCTTATAGTGCTTACTTTGGGGTTAGGCTAATTGGTGTGAGTGTTGGAAATATTTATTTATTTATGTAAGTATAAATTAAGTAGACATCATTAAGCGCATTTTATCGAATATATCAAGGCGAGTGTTCTGAGGAGTTATTCTCCCTTATCCCACTTCCGCCTTTCCATCAGAGGAGCACACGCGCAACGTCTATGTTGCCACAGGCTCATTGTGATTCTTACACGAACAAAGTGTAATTTTTTTGTCGTACTATTCTACAATCCAGGATCCTTTAATAGAGGAGTGAAGAAGCATTGGTGCAGGCGGGCATGGTTTTTTTGTGGGTTCCGGTGGTATTTTCCGGAGAATTACCAAAGAACATTTATTGGAGTCAGATTAGTCAGATGGTTTTGCATTTTAGCCTGTGGATGTTTGTATTTCGTTATTTAATACGAAAGACATACGAGTATGAGACCTTTATAAGTAACATTTTATTATGTAATTAAAATACATTACTGTGAGTTAGTATTATTCTGCTTTTATATTAGTTGATTTTATTATGTCAGAGGTTTGAATTGTGTAGTTTTAAATGAAGTTGGTAATGTGAGTTATTAGCTATTGTTATATTCTATATGTAAGTGTGTTAACATGGTTTTGCATAGATACACGATTTGTTAAAGCATTATTTCTTGGCATAAGCTCGGTTATAGTATAACTCATATCATCCCAACCATAGTAAAATAGGTTCAATTTTTATGAAAATCGGATTGGGGCACGTTTATAGAAGTATAACAATACCTACATATAAAAAAAAATTATATCTCATTTAGATTTTTAGTTTAGTAACCGTTCCAATAATGGAACACTAGGCTTATACATACATGTTAGTGGCTATGGATTTCGTTTGGAAATAAAACTATTTTATGCACATTATTTAGTTATTGTATTAGTAAAAAAATAGATAAACTCACAATTATTTTAAATCTTATAATTATTAAGTTACAAGGATTATTAGATATGTTATACAGTATGAAAAAAAATGGAACATTTGCTATGTAATGCAACATTACATTTGACACACTTCATTGTTGTATTTTTATGGCATAAACCACATCGCGTTTGTTTATTTTGTTTGTCAATTAGATGTCCTTTACCATCCGATCTAATAGCATCGGGCACACGTTTTATTACTGCTAGTGAAGATCTGGGATTTGACATGGTTGAAGTATAAGGGGCTGAATCTTTCATTAGAAAGTATGTAGAAACAATATCTCTCGTAAATGATAAAAGATCATGTGGCGTGCCGTTATGTTTTTTTGCAGCTGGAGATATTTTGTAAAGTTGAAAAGCATTATTGACTGCAACATTTAGTGGAAACATGAGCAACTGCCAGTACCATCTCTTCAGACGAATCGCGATTCTATAACAACCCACATTTTGATCAAGTCGGTCCACGCCGCCCATATATTTATTGTAGTTTACAAAGCAACGGGGTTGGTCAACGTCTTTTTTTTGTTTGTCGCAGTAGCGTTTCACTTTACTTATAGGTTCTACACCACATTGAGTCGAGGCCACTGTGACAATGTTATTGTCATTATATCTCACAAGAGTGATATTAGACAATGTATCAGTACATTGGTGATGAGATCCTCTACTTGTTTTCTTCATTTCTTTTGGATCTTTGAGAGGTGCATTCTCTGTTCGATTAGCTCGTATAGTCCCCGTTCCGTCGTGACCCATTTTTTGCAACTCGTCAAGCAGTGGTAGAGATGTAAAAAAGTTATCGAAATAAAAGCTGTAGTTACCTTGTGGCAATTTTGAGATTAGATCCAGAACCACTGAGGCACCAACACCTAATTCAGGATGGGTATTTCCGGTACTAGCTCCCTGATAAAGCTCACCATATATCAAATAGCCCAGCCGCGTACAAATGGACCAATTTTTGTAACCGAATCGAATGGGCTTACCATGGATGTGCTGCTTGGTTCCATGTTTACCATAATATGGAATCATCGATTCATCGATGCTCAAGTTTTTATCGCCAGGATAATATTTTATCCACCTAGCATTGAGCAGATTCCATAAAGGGCGCACTTTAGTAAACTTATCATTACGGTCAAGATTGTTATTATCGGCAACATGGAAATAACGCAGTAACTCTTCAAACCGATTTCTTGACATAAGAGCTGCAACTGTTGGAAAACTGCAGTCAACTTTTTGTTCCCAATACATTCTGTATCTCGATACACTGTTATAACCAGACAATAATAAAATAGCAATAAAATGTTTTATATCAGTTGTAGAAACTCGAAATGCATGTTTTCCCTTTTGGTTTCCATTTTTCTCTGTTTCAGATCGGAGTAATTCAAACACCTCTTCATCATAAAAAAGTTCGAAAAACTGAATAGGATTTTGAAGGTTTTCTAAGAATTCTGGTTCACAGTGCTCTTTTCCAGCCTTTTCTGGAATATCTACAAACCTCCACTTTCTTGTGACTTCAACACGTCTTCTTTTTGGCGGTGGTTGCGTTACAGACGACGAGGAGCTCGGCTGTGGAGTCTGCGTCACTGACGATGTGGAAGGTATTGGGTCCACTTTAGCTTCATCTCCAACGAGCTCGTTCAGTATCGTAGATTCAGCCTGAGACGATCTGGTGACCCGAAGTTCACCTTCTGCAAGTAACTGATGTCTTGACAAATTATTTATACTAGCAAACTCTTCGTCACCACTGTCTTCATCGCTATTTTGCCAATTATCAGGAGGCGTGATGAAAATTTCAGCCGAAAACACATCATCATCTTCTTCTAAATGCGAGATTATTTGATCCACATTCAATCTGCAATAAAATAATACCACAATTTTGAGGTAATACTGATAAAGTATGAATCACAATGTTTAAAAATTACATGTGCGTATGTTCCTACTGCTCAAATAATGGAACGGTACATTATCATCACACTTACCCACAAATAACTACTTTTATTTGTCAAAACGTATTATAACACGATATAACAATAGTATAACATGTGTATAAACGATAAATACTCAATAGTATACTATAAAACATTATTATTACTTACGGTTTTCTGTTCGCCATAATTTCTACTAAAAACTTCCAAACAAAATTATGTTTAACGATAGAAAAAACCGCGCGAAGTGAAATGACATTTATTAAACTGACAGCTAGTATTGTAAGTTATACCAACATAAAAATATTAATTTAAAGATGCGTTCAGAAATTCCAATAAAAAATAAAAAAGTAACCGTTTTAAAAATGGAACACTGGGATGATAAGAGATAAGGATCAATTTTATGGTATGAGCAGAGGCGGGTATGTTCCACCCGCGCACATGTAGGCTGGCATGATTAGGTAGGTTGGTGTGGCAGTTCATAACTACTGCACCAGCTAACTTCGCGTCTGGACTTTACCACCATTTAATATCAGGTGGGGTAGTCGTTTTCATACCTTAATATAAAAGAAAAATACGAAATCTATACTGTTATCACGAAGCCTATAAAAGGTCATGAATAATTTAAAAATATACTAAACTGCGCTGTTCATAAGAAATAAATAAACTATAAAAGCGTTAGGAGCACATGGAATCATCGGCTGGTCTCAACATACAGTCATTACTTGATGTCATCAACATTATTCGAGCTGCACAAATAACACTGCGATAACGCCTTAACTATTGTTTGTTGAAAACGAATGAGTTTGTACTTTTGTACATGTTAGTTATTTCTTTAAAAGAACAATGTCGCTTTTCCACCGGTGCAATTTAAGACGCGTTGGTATCTTATGTGCGTGCCCTCCGAGAAGCCACAGTGGAAAACGTAGGTTTCTTATACATAAAGATTTAGCAGGACCCTTAAAAAAATTGTAGCCAGAAAGATGAGTTTGTAGCTGTTGTAAGTCGAACGCTACGACTCACCGAATGTGGGATTGTGGGCTCTCAGACGAATCGCCTCAATGTTCATATTAAAATCTGCTGAGGAGCTGAGGAGTGACTACAAATAAAGAAAATTCAATCCGTTGGTGGGCCCTCAGATCTTACGTGTTCAAAATATACAGCACTGCTTCAAATTACAAATATGTTAAGAGCGAACGCGAGCTGAGCGACATTTGAGAAATAGGTATTTTAAAAAACTAGTGCTGCATGACATTGGCAGCTGCCGTGTGATTGGGCCAAAAGTAGTTGACTCTAAAAATTGCGTGTAAAAATGGTAAAATTTGAGGTTCGGCTCCCGGCGATTTCCTCCGCCAAAATTAGATAAGTAAATGTAAAAAAAAAAAACAAAAAGAATAATAAGTAGTAATACTTGGCCTCTATGTTTTGCTTTTTTGTAAATACTTATTAAATCTTCACATTATACGTCTTTAGTGGTTGGTGAGTGGTAAAAACATAAGATAGTGGCATTTACGGGTAATTTCCGCCAACAAGCGATTAAGAGTTGGAATGATTTACTTCCTCTTATAAGACACATAATATCAAGGTATAGTTTCATATAGCAAGTAAAATTAGCCTTACTGATTTTGCAAAGTTTAAGCATACGCACTAATTGCGTTTTAGTGGAGGTTCTTCTGTTAGCATTCATACTTTTAGTCAATTGAATTAAAATTTTAATGGCATATTTTAATATTACCTATTTAAGTTTTGAAAATTTATTTATATTTATATAACAGAATTCTAATAACAAGTATTGATAATGAATTAAATAACGTTCGTATATTCTATGTGGAACTAGGAAAGGACAATGCCAGTTTTGTAGCGTACTATGAAGATGGCCTCGCGTTTCCTACGGACAGTGTCACTCACTAGTGACTGTAAATCAGACAAGAAATTTAAGAATTGTTCAATTTAATATTCTATCAATGTCTGCAGTGATAAAATGTATTAGCTAGATACACTTAAATCACAAAATAGATCGGAAAAAAGTATATTGTAGTAAAAAGAATAAGAGATATTATTGACATGATAAATAGACGTAAGTATAAAGATAAATGCAATAAACCAAAAAACCTGTATTTAGGAAGTTACACATTTTAGCGAAGCGTGCGTGTGTCGAAATCTTAAATGCATATGCAATTTCGGTTGCAACATGTATGTTACAAACGAAATGATAATTTAGATATTTTAAGTAATATCCATAATACGTAATATCTACCTCGTTGGGCGGTGATGGGCGACGCGACGGTGACAACTTATCATCTGGTGGCCCGTCTACTCATCTGCCTTTGAAGGCAATAAAAAAATCATAAAGAAATTGATTGAAAGCAGAATTAATTATTTCCTTTTCTTTATTAATCACTAAACATTCGACAAATAGTTTAAATTTGACACTGAATATTTAATTGAATCTACAGATTATGTACGATCACTTATTAATCACTTCGGCTGTAACATATATGTATTATGATATTATTATCCGAATTTAAACTGTCACCCCGACTTACAAATATCATGAATTGTATGTACATAAATATACACACCGCCCAATCTTCAGTTTCTTAATCATTTTAATTTTATCTACTACACATGATAGTAAAAAAGCATTACAAATTTTATATTATAACTACACGGTTAAATACTCAACTGTATAACTTGTGGTTCATCCGGTGCACAAATATTTGAGACACCTTTGTCAGGAGGAGACACAGCACAATACTGAAGTCCGGTATAAGTTTTCCATAACAAATGTTTTCTATAATACTTGAGCCTGAAAAACATAAGTAAAACATTAAATTATTATTTTAGGTAACATAATGCACTAATATTTAATCGCGCGTATGATTATACAGATAATCTTCAGCTTATTATCAACTAATAAATGCAATACTTCGATCGAATGGATGCCTTTTCGATTGCATTGCCTCAACAAATGTGGCAAATCAGAATAAATTCCAAGTGTAACACAAAGAAATTCCTGCTAAAGTAGTTTCAGTACATAGTTTCTTTAGTAACAAATGTGCGGCAATATTTTACAGTATAGGTGGTATTTAATACCTAAGAATTTTATGGTTACCGATTTTATGTACTACGATGGATTGTGTACATGTTCTTTAATTAACAAATGATTATTTTGATTTATTCTTAAATCAAGACAAATAACAAAGTAGGGAAATATCTCAAATAACTTTATCAGAAACACGCCAAAAGTACTCTTTTATTATATTTTCTAGTATTACCTATTCTAAAATATCATATGAAAATAACCAGAAAAGTTCAATCGATATAGATAACTCGTATAGGAAATGGAACTGTAATATTGTATCTACATTCTTATCAAAGTCAATGTGGTTTCAAGCTGGAAGTGGTTTTAGATAACAGATATTTATATGAGGTAAAAGACAAACAAACAAACGGTACTTGCAAAGAAAACGAACTCACCCTTCGTAAAGTAAAGCCATTAGAAATATTGCAAAAAATGAACCAATGAATTCTCCAAGTTCTGTTACATTCCACCATGAAAAAAGAATTGTTTCTACGCAGCCCCCATGAAACTAGAAACAAATAAGTTAAAATAAATATACGGGTGCAAGAAAATGGATCATAATATCTGTGATTTGAATCTGCGCTCGAAACACTGGATTAAGACTAGCACGGGAATCTGAGTTTATTTAAAAAGATTAACTATCTACTTTAAAAAACACATAAAATCGATGAGGTCTAGCTATAATTGGGGTGAAGTATCTATTTGTAATAACCTCCCTTCCCATTAGGGATGTGATACATCACAAGCTATGGGTAAGGTATGTAAAAGCGGAAACAAATTATAAGTTTAGTTAAACATTTATAATGTACTGCAAACACTGATAAGATGCAAAAGACACTCGAAACAAAAACAATTCAATGTATTACTTGGGTAATTAACAATACTAAATACAATTATCAGGGAGCCAGAGAGAAAATACAAAGTAAATAAAAATTTGGTTCTTACTGTCATAGACATCATGTGGCCACCGCTGCCATGACCGCCGGCGTGACCTTGGCTTCCATGGTCACCATGCCCGTTGGCGTGATGATCTCCATGGCTATTATAGTCTGATCTATAGTCTATGTTGCTCATGTCATCGGTTCCGTTGAACATGGTCTGAAATAGGTTTCTACATAAACATAGTGACACTTTTTATACATCCCAAGTGATCAGAACATTGTAAATTGTTCAATTATAAATTTTTAATAAATTACTATCAAAAACTCGAATAAGAAGGACCTTCTTTCGAGTAAGGTCACTATGCAAATATAAATAAATACACTGAGTATGTGCCTCAATAGACGAAGATAGTGTTATTTGATAAAAAACTCAACTTTCGCCCAATACAAAATTGTACTAAATAAACTTACATCTAAATTATCTCCCATTATGTGAGTGCTGTTGAGCAGGTGGTCCTTATGCGTCATCATGTTATGCCCCAAGTTGTGATCCATGTGATCCTCGTGGCCCATATCATGATTAGAGTGATCCATATGCATGTGCTCCATTCGAGGGTTTACTAAAAGAGAACCAATTATTAGTCAAAGGGTTTGCGTCCTGTAAATTAACGTGTAATGTACGCGAGTACCGTGACGAAGTCTGAACATATTCCTACTAACGAAGCAGGTCTGTATCTGATTGTTTTAACTCATTAGCTGATGAACCAAATGAAAGTTTATTAAACACGCTTGTTAAATCCAAACACATGTCTCCCACGCCAACAACTATAATTTTTAAAGAGCCAATAATAATTATGGCAAATTATAAATTAAGTGTTACGAAGTCTTTTTATATAATTAACAAAATTTACTATTTGTATCTATGGTGTTCTTAAGATTTCTAAGTTTTGTTAAAGCAGGATCCTGCTTTATATTACGTCTAAAACTGGTGACACCAATGACACTAAGCAACAATGAAAGGTTATGTAAAATGGACCCTATATAACTCTCACTAAAACAATATTTGCCCAAACATATTACAAACAAAGGTTGTAAGCGAACACAATCTACACTCAAGTAAATGTTAAATTAACCAGCTCACTATTGCAAGTACTTCACGCGCAGCCTTGAAATTGTATCAGTTGTCCGTACACACTGAGTTATGTTGCAGCAATGCCTCTAAGGCTCTTTTCCCAAGACTATGGGTTAATAATTGTCGCGACCGAAATTTAAAAACCGACAGAGTAAAAAGCATCTTGCCGACGAATTCATTCATCAGTAAAACATTGACCAGCAAGCGACGACGACAGAGTGATATTAATTGGCCGTAACTATGTTTGACTTGTTTGTAAAAGCTGAATAGGCTGCTTTTACAAACACTACTACACTACACAACACACTACTTTTGCATAGGTTGTTACATATTTTAGACGACCAATGCAATAATAATTTTAAACATTCAATTAAGTATAATATATCAATTTATACCTTAGATATTAATTTTGTTAAGATAAAACTATTCTATTCAATGACACCAGTAAAAATGAAAGAACATGCCTGTAATTATTCGGAAAAATAAAATATTATACTATATAATTCCATTTTTAAGAAAGCTAGATGATTCATCTTATACCTGTGTTTGTACTTCATCTACAACATAGCTATTCTGTTTTTTGTAATAAGGGGTCAATGAAACCAGTACGTAACAAAAAACTAGACGATATAGATCGAATTCTTCAAATCACAATTCTTCCATTATTTTACAGATCTCTTTAGATAGTCACAAAGTTAGGATTAATTTAAAAAGCACATTTGAAACAAGTTGAAAAAGTGTTTTATTTAATGAGTGGTATGCGAGATGACATGAGAAAAAAAGGTAAATTAAAAAAATCTAAAAACTCGACTGCTTAAATATTACTTTAAATAAAAAAGATCTTTTCTGTTTTTATTTCAAGAAATATAAATTTAAGCAGTGTTGTTTTTTTTTCAAATTTACCTTTTTTATTTCACACTTTTTAGTTGGGATTTTATAAGTCGGTATATACCTCAGTCTTGTCACTTCAGTAAGGGAGTTAATAACGCGGGGATTATTAAGTACCTTGCGGTGGTCTAAACGATTGATTTATTAAGACATATAAAGACCTTACAACCAGGGTCAAGGCGACAGACGGGTCTAAACTCTCGCAAAAATGTGTGAAGTTAAATCAAGTCGTTACCTATACATAATGAATGTAAATTTTATAGTTAACTAGTACTTATTCAAAAAGTCATCTTTTGCTAAATTATTTTTACTAGTTTAGGAGTAAATATAAAATTTATTTTAAATTTACTTTTATTCGTCGACTATCTAAAATTGGCAGTGGCTGCATTGTCAACGTCCAGCTTTACGACTATGATAGGGCGTGAAGGGGGCGGGGGGCTCCTAAAAGCTAAACTATTGGCTTGAAAAACCCGGAAATAATGTGCTAATAATAGTGCTTTTCATGAAATTTTTAAGGAACACTAAAACGGTTAAGATGGTTTCGTTATCATCATCATCATCAGCCGAAAGACGTCCACTGTTGGACATAGGCCTCCCCTATGGATTTCCACAACGATCGGTCCCATGCTGCCCGCATCCAGCGGCTTCCCGCGACCTTTACCAGATCGTCGGTCCACCTTGTGGGGGGCCTGCCAACACTGCGTTTCCCGGTACGCGGTCGCCACTCGAGGACCTTTCCGCCCCAGCGGCCATCGGTCCTGCGAGCAATGTGCCCTGCCCATTGCCACTTAAGGTTTGCAATTCTGTGGGCTATGTCGGTGACTTTAGTTCTCTTGCGTATCTCCTCATTTCTGATTCGATCACGCAGAGAAACTCCGAGCATAGCCCTCTCCATTGCCCTTTGGGTGACTTTGAGCCTTCTTACAAGACCCATTGTAAGCGGCCACGTCTCGGTTCCGTATGTCATCATTGGCAACACGCACGAATTGAAGACTTTCGTCTTGAGGCACTGCGGTAGATGTTCCGAGAAGATGCTACGTAGCTTCCCGAACGCTGCCCAGCCGAGTTGGATTCGTCGATTAACCTCTTTCTGGAAGTTGGACTTACCCAGTTGGACTATTTGTCCCAGGTATACGTACTGGTCAACAGCTTCCAGTGTAGAGCTCCCAACAGTCACTGGAGTGGGTACGACATTGGAATTCGACATGATTTTCGTCTTGTCCATGTTCATTTTGAGACCCACTTGTTGGGACACCCTACTGAGGTCGCCGAGCATTGTGCCAAGGTCATCCATGGTCTCAGCCATGACTACGATATCATCTGCAAATCGAAGGTGCGTCATGTACTCGCCGTTTATGTTGATGCCAAGTCCGCTCCAGTCCAAAAGTTTGAAAACGTCTTCCAGCGCAGCTGTAAACAGTTTCGGTGATATAACGTCACCCTGTCTTACACCACGCTGCAGCTGGATTGGCTTCGTGTTTTGGTCCTGGAGTCGAACTGACATAGTGGCGTTTTCATACAACGACTGCAACACTTCGATGTATCGATAGTCTATTTGGCACCTTTGGAGTGACCGAAGCACGGCCCATGTCTCGATCGAATCGAAGGCTTTCTCGTAGTCCACAAACGCCAAGCATAATGGCAGGTTATACTCTTCGGTCTTCTGTATAACCTGCCGCAGCGTATGGATGTGGTCTACGGTACTAAACCCTTTTCGGAATCCGGCTTGTTCGGGAGGCTGGAAGTCGTCAAACCTGCGCGCGAGACGATTCGTGAGGACTCTCGAAAACAGCTTGTATACATGACTCAGGAGCGTGATGGGTCTGTAATTCTTCAATTGGGCCCTGTCGCCCTTCTTGAAGAAAAGCGCCACCACTCCCCTATGCCATGCGCTAGGCGTTCTGCCCTCGAGTATGACAGAGTTAAATAGCTTCTGAAGAGATTTCAAGACTGGTCGTCCACCTGCTTTCAGAAGCTCGGCTGTAACTCCGTCATCACCCGGCGCCTTATTGTTTTTGAGCTGTTTCAGAGCTACACTAATCTCGTACAGGCTGACGTCCGGGATATCTTCGGTGTAGTGTCGGGTTAATTTGGCTCTTGGGTCGGTCGCCTTTGTGACAGGTACTCGTGATGTCGCGTATAGCTGTCCGTAGAAGCTTTCGATCTCAGCCATAAGCTCAGGTTGCGACGAAATGATTCTGCCGTCCTCTGTCTTCAGCTTCGTCAGCAAACTCTGTCCAAGAGACAGATTTCTTGCGAACACTTTCGAGCCTTTGTTCCGCTCGATGGCCTCTTTAATACGATCAGTATTAAAGCGGCGTATGTCGCGAGTCAGAGACTTCGAAATCTGCCTATTGAGCTGCCGACGTGCATCTTCAGAGGGCTGCAGACCCATCTCACGCCTTTTCTCCATGAGCTTGAGAGTCGGCTCCGAGATCTTGCTGCGTTTTTTGGTACGGATGGGCTTGCAGAACTTCGAGCCCACCGTAAGGACAGCTTTAACAAACCTGTCATTATAATTGTCCACGTCTACGCAGCTCTCTAGGCAATCGAAGCGATTTTGCAGTTCGAGTTGAAAGCGCTCGGGGTTTTGGATCCGGATGGCTTCAGGACGGAGCGTGGACTTCATCAGTCGATTCCTTTCGGCTTTGACATTTAGATTCAATGTGCCTCTTACCATTCGGTGATCGCTTCCCGTATTGAACGAATTGATCACTGAGACATCATTGAATATCCGAGTCTTAGTCGCCATGATGAAGTCAATCTCATTTTTTGTCACGCCATCCGGACTTTTCCAGGTCCATTTTCGATGCAGCCGTATTCTGAAGAAGGAGTTCATCATAAAGAGTCCCTCCTTCTCCATGTAATCGGCTAGCATTTGACCTCGGAAGTTCCGGATTCCAACTCCAAATTGCCCCACTTTCAACTCATCATCGCCACGTTTGCCCAGCCTTGCGTTGAAGTCCCCCATGACAACGGTGTAATGGGTCCTGGAAGCATGCATTGCCCGAGAAATATCCTCATACATGACTTCCACTTCCTCGTCGGGGTGCGTCGAGGTCGGAGCGTATACCTGTATGACCTTCAACGAATACCGTTTGGTGATTCTGAGTATAAGGTACGCCACCCTATTCGACACACTACCGATCTGTACAATAAACCCGACACCACCCTGGGACAGATCTTCGCCCTCCCGGAAATAGAGCAGGTTGCCGGATTTAAGGACCATCGTGTCCTCGCCCTCTCTTCGGACTTCTGATATTCCTACAATACTCCAGCGAATCCTGCTCAATTCTTCCTCCAGTTCCAGCAGCTTCTCCTCGGTCCGTAGTGTGCGTGCGTTGTACGTTGCCAGGGCCAAGGTCGTTTGACGGGGGATTTTTGCCGCCTGGGGATTCTTCGCACCCCTGGTCCCGGCGCCGAGTCGGCGTCCGTCAGCGCCGCCACGGACTCCAGCACCGCCGGGCACTTGGGGCCTCTTATTACGTACTATCATTTTAGGGGGGGTTTTGGGCCGTCTCCCACCACGCTGGCCCAGTGCGGGTTGGTGGGGAGCGCCAGAGCCTCGTCCGTTGGTCGGCAGGGTACACCGCGGGCAGG